GGACTCCAGGATCATGACCTGAGCCGAAGGCAGTCGCTTAACCAACTGAGCCACCCAGGTGCCCTCCATTTCGCTGATTTTTAAATATTTATTTTTTAGTTAAAAAAAAGTGAATATTCTGTAAGATATGTAATTAATATTCAAAGACTATCAAAAACACCCATAGCCTATGAGCATCCTATAATATAATAATTAAAAGGAAGAAATAGTGGTTCAACGATGAAGTTTCTTTTGAGTTGAGGATAAAAGAAAAAGCAAGAGACCAGAAAGTGTCAAAGATGACGGCATCAAAGAGATAAGAAGCAGAAACGTGAGTTCTTCATATATTGAAGGAAGAAAGCTGGGAAAGACACCCTTAACAGCAAAATCATAATTCAATTAGGTTAAAAAGATTTCGGACATGTTTTACACATCTGACCAAAAAAGGACATTTCAATGATCTTACTGTTTGAAGATTTTTTTTTTTTAAGATTTTATTTATTTATTTGACAGAGAGAGAGGGACAGCCAGAGAGAGAACACAAGCAGGGGGAGTGGGAGAGGGAGAAGCAGGCTTCCCGCTGAGCAGGGAGCCCGATGCGGGGCTCCATCCCAGGACCCTGGGACCATGACCTGAGCCGAAGGCAGACGCTTAACAACTGAGCCACCCAGGCGCCCGTGATCTTACTGTTTGGGCTAATAGTCTTATAGTTGGTAGATTACCCTTCACCCTACTCCAGATTTCTTTTTTAATCTAATGAAAAGACAAGAACTTATCAAATATGCTGATAGTATATATATAAATATCTAGCTATTCACCCTATCATAACCAGGTTTTACAAATTCCATCTCTACCATATAGTTTTAATTACAGGCAGAAATCACTGCTGAATTCTGTTTAATGCATTTTTGTTTACCTGCTCTAATTTGCCATTTTAAAGCTAAGGCAGTTTCAAGGAATCAATAAATTAGAAATTTATAATTCACATATTTTACAGAATTCAAATCAGACTGCCACATAATGACACAGGCATAGGATGTTTGTTATATAAGACAGAATTATTAATTTCTATGATTGCTTCATATCTAAATTAATCGCTTCAACCTATTCAAGGTGGAACCTAGTTAAGATCCAAAAATCTAATCCTAGTTCTAGGTCTCAAAATTCAACCCTCTAAAAAGAATTACAATACCAGTAGCTTGAATACCTTATTAAAAGACTGTGACATGGTTAAGGAATAAAAACATTTATATCCACAGGAACCTCAAAAATAGAAAGCTCTTTGTCTATTTTTTTTTACTGGATGATCAAAATAACTTCTCCAAATGGACTATCTGGCAATTTATACTGCCAGTCTGGTTCAACGAGGCTGTGGAAAAGCACAGTTGGAAGAATTATTTTTGCCTATATATATATATATATATATTTTTTTTTTGGTCAACTATCTCCTCAACAAAAAGAGCTGATTAGCACATATATGACATATGTATGTCAAAATATAATTTAAATCAACACCTTTCCTTTACTTAAAAACCCGGATTTATACTGCAATAGTCAGAATGACATTATGGTTTTCAAAACATTAATATAAAAGTTGTCTCTGCTATTTTCCTAGAGTTGCCCAATGCCCTGTCCTTTATTCTGAAATCCTATTAGTGAGACAGTAGTCAAATATTACCTCAATTCTTATGTTGAAGATAAAGACAGGGGAAAGACAACTGATGTCTTGGTATAATCAAAAATAGCAAAAACCGTCAGGCGACATGAGGATAAAGGGAAAAACAGTTCAAACTTTTGGAGAAGTAACCTCCTAAATAATTTTAACACTTCCTGTCTGTGCAAGCTAAAAGGAAGATAAAACCCTCAAAAGATCTGGGTTAAAATGACATAAGATTTGGTGGGGGCGGGCGGGGAGGGGTAGATGGGATTTAGCTTTTTTGACATATTCTTTTCATTTGAAAACAATGTCATAAACTTTAATAAAAGAAGGAAAATGTAAAACTACCCAATATATCAGTGAATAAGGAGCAACGGATCTGACTAGTTCAGCTTTAAAAATCTGCATTACCAGTGTCTCTACAGCCAGGTAAAGATCCGGTAAATACAATTACTACAGTTGTTCAAATCTGTGACTGAACTTAGGTACAGAAAACAATTAAACTACTGTTTAAATCACCATAATTTGCTACTCAATTGATCTGTAAAATATTTGGGTTTATAGACTATATTGAGAATGATTTGACAAAGAAAAGATGAGGATAAAATCCACCTACTACCGATTCTCAGTAAGACAACTCAAATTTCCGATATGGAACTATTATTATTAGTTATTCCACTTTCTTTATCTTTTGGGCTTTTTGAAGCAAACTGTCTTACCCAATTACACACTTTGAAAAATTTCAAATGATAAAAAATCTTTACAAGGAAACGATTTAAAAATCACCAAAAAGCAAAAGGACAAGATGTTCAAGACTTTAGACAGTATCTAAGAAAGAATACAATCAGGGAATGGCTTTATCAAGGTGGGCAAAGTTCAGAATGGCAGAATTCCTTCCCTGTTGTCATGACTATATTAAAACTACTGGCGGTTTGGGGACTATCACCGTGTCCAGTAGTAAAACAGAAGGGAAATGCCTGGTACAGAACGCTGAATGGCCCAAAGAAAACCTAAGTGGTGACAAGAGCCTAAAGGCACATGCAGGTACGCATCTTTTATATTGGATGTGATACACTTACATGGCCCCTGTTGAATCTCTTGGGGACCAACAGTAAAGCAAGTTTAGAACTTCAAATCTTGAGACATCTATAGCAAGATGCTGATCCAATGTGGCTCCAAATATCTTCTGTTTTCCTGGCTCACCTGAAGAGGAAAAAACACTACAGAGGATGTGGGAACTGAATTTCTTTATGTAGTTTCTTCTAGAGCAACTGTCTGAAAGTTTTGGCCCAATCCTTTATGAAGTCTGGAGATGAGACACTTGAGGGACTAGTGAAAAACAAAATTCAAATGAAAAGGTGGAGTGAGGCATCTAAACGGGGGAATATGAGAGCAAAAGATAATCGTCGTAGGTAAATCAGCATTTCTAATCTGTAAGTGGGAGGAGGCAGAGAAAGGAGAGAAAAAATATGCACAGATGTTTCTCCCTCCACTCCCTCACCCTAATTGCTACTAAAAATTCCTGAAGTACCTAAACTTTTTGACCACAATTAGGGAGTGAATAAACAAGGTTATTTGGAAAGGTAAGCATTTTGTCAAGTCTCCCTCCCCGGGCTATGTTACATTATTAAGCAGCAGGGAGGCCTCTCAGATAATACTTTTTTCTAAGAACAGATTCTGGTGCAATACAGCTTGAAGCAATAAAGAAAGAGAAATATAAACTCAATTTCTGCAAAAATGGAAGTCACAGGACAATATACCATATTGACAAAGTTTATTTAATTCTGTTTTTCAAAAGGGGAGGGACAGCTTTCATATAATAAGAAATCAGAACAAAAAGTAGTTTCTATATAATAGAAAATATTTTTAAACTAAGCAACACAAACTGCATGCTTCGTCCCCTTGGGAAATATTATCCCCTGGAAAGATAATCTTTAAAAAAAAACTAAGATTAGCAGAAGCAAATCTGATGTACATTACCACACAAAAACATAAAAATGTAGTCCATATTAATTTAGGTTCATTTTTAATTAACTTTTTTCCTAAAACATTTTACTAAATAGTATATTATTATTCTCCAGCATTCATGCAATAGCCTAGGACATAAAACAGTTTTCTTTCCAAATATTTTCCATTTTAACCAGTTTACTTGAACTATGTCTGGTAAAAATACCAGAATTTTCTGACAAATAATATTGGAGAACCAATTAGATCCTTACCTGACGTGGCTGCTCATTCATTCTTTGTGGGTCTGATTTCACTTTATTACTAGGATGATTTGTGACTTTGGTTACTGGTTGTTTGAAAATCGATGCAGTTTGTCTAATTGGCAATGTTGTATTCAAGTCTGGTTTACCCTGTGGATATAAGCATGTTTTCATTAGTAAATATTACATATAAATATAATTTGATGAATTAATTCATTATCCATTACTTTTAAGTTTTTACTTAAATTCCAGTTAGTTAACATACGGTGTAATATTAGTTTCAGGTGTACAATATAGTGATTCAATACTTCCATACATCACCCAGTGCTCATCACAAGTGCCCTCCTTGATCCCCATAACCTATTTCCCCCATCCCCCCACCAATTTCCCCTCTGGTAACCATCAGTTCTCTAAATTAAGAGTCTGTTTCTTGGTTTGTCTCTTTTTTTTTTTTTCCCTTTGCTTATTTGTTGTTTTTTTTTTAAGTTTATTTACTTATTTAAGTAATCTCTACAACCAGTGTGGGGCTCAAACTCAGGACTGAGATCGAGTCACATGCTCCTCTGACTGAGCCAGCCAGGCACCCCTGCTCTGTTTCTTAAATTCCACATATGAGTGAAATCATATGGATGGAGCTAGAGATTATTATGCTAAGCAAAATAAGTCAGTCAGAGAAAGACAAATACCATTACCCATTACTTTAAATCAGATTATTACAAACTTCTCAATCTCAGCATTGTAAATACTCTAAAGCACATCTTTAGCACATCATTATGCGAGACATACGTGAAGTTTTCTCATTTAAAAGCTTTCCGTGTACTTTAAAATGTAAGAAAATTATCTACATGAAATTCATAATTAATTTGATTAGCATGATACTCGGGACTGTTAAATGAACAAATATATTTATGGGTAACACAAAAAGAGTTTTCAGAACAACAATCAGGAGAGCGATCATCTCAACACTGGAGAATGGAGGAAAATAATGGCACACTTGGCCATTAAAATGTTAACAAACTGGTCAGCTATTAGGAGGCCAGGCTTAAATTTCACTCCCATATAAAAAGACAATTAGAAATGAAAGTTCTAATTCTAGCAAACAGAACTCAATTTAGCAAACTTATCTAATTTTAATCAACCCGTAAATAAAATCTAAGGTGTGTTCTATGAAGTCAAAATGTGGCAGAGTTGCTGTTAAGTTCATTTGCAATGAATGCTCTAACAGCCATGGGGGGGTGGACAGGCAGAGGGGGCAAGGAAGGAAAAAAAAAGAAAAAGAACGAAACGTGATTTAATCATTGTGTATTCTGATTCTGGCAAAAAAATACATATATATAAAAGGTCATCTGTATCTGAAAACAATATACACCTGATATTTTTGATTACTTGATAAATCTACAGGATATTCAATGAACTTTTGTCAACTATCCTCAGATAAAAACTGCTATCAACTTCCAGACTCCAAAACAATGGTTCTCAAATTTCAGCACACATCAGAACCACCCAGAGGGTTTATTAAAATACAGATTCCTGGGCCTCCCTCCTAGAGATTCTGATTCAGTAGAGATGAGGTGGGGCCTGGGAACTTGCATTTCTATCAAGGTCTCAGGTGATGCTGATGCTGCTGATCCAGGGACCACTTGGAGAACCACTACTCTAAAACAAAGATTGCAAATTGGTGGCAGGAGAACCAAGTTTAATCCACAGATGTATTTTGTTCAGTTTTTAGTGTCTAATAAAATGAATGAACATCCACAAATCTGGAGATTTCACATAAAATCCAGATTCTAGCTTCTCTTAAAAATTCAAAGATCTAGAAATCCTGGACTTGATTTGGCCACAACAGGCCATAATTAATTAGTAATGGCTGCTCACAAGAGGTGTCAAGGGTTCTCTTTTAGCAAAATTCCTCAACAACTCATGTTTGCATTACCTGTCTGAGCCCTAGGTGTTGAGTTTGTGACCTCTTCTTAAAGAATGTTACCAATGTCTAGAAAGGTAAGCATCAGAATAAATTAAACTGAGGGCGCCTGGGTGGCTCAGTTGGTTAAGCGACTGCCTTCGGCTCAGGTCATGATCCTGGAGTCCCTGGATCGAGTCCCGCATCGGGCTCCCTGCT